ATATGATCGGGTGGCATGGGATCATATTACTGGTGTTCTAAGAAGATTTGGTTTTGGGGAAAGATTCATTGATCTTGTATGGCGATTGATTTCTAATGTCTGGTTTTCGGTCATTATAAATGGGTCTACCCATGGTTTCTTTAAATCTTCAAAAGGACTACGTCAGGGTGACCCTTTATCGCCTGCTTTATTCATTATAGGAGCTGAGGTTTTGTCTAGAGGTTTGAATAATCTTGCCTTGCAATCGGGATTTGTGGGCTTCAAAACTCCATACGCATGCCCTCCTATAACACATTTGGCATTTGCGGACGATGTCCTCATATTTGCAAATGGATCTTCACATTCTTTAAAGGCTATCATGCAGGTACTACAGATGTATCAAAGGTGTTCGGGGCAGTTGATAAATGTGCAAAAAAGTTGTTACTTGGTTCATCCATCCTTGTCACTGGCTAGAAGAAGGGTGATTGAACGTATCACCAGTTTTACCTGGCATTCATTTCCGATACGTTATTTAGGCTTTCCTCTCTATTTCGGAAGGTGTAAATCATCTTATTTTGGGGAAGTATGTCAGTCTATCTTATGGAGGATTATGACACGGAAATCAAGGTTGCTTTCATTTGGAGGTAAGATAGTTCTAATCAAACATGTTTTAGCATCGATGCCTTTGCATCTGCTCTCAGCATCGATTATCCCAGCAAAAGTATTTAGAACTATAGAAAATACTTTGTCGACCTTCCTTTGGAGGTCATCACCCGAGATGTCCAAGTATCACTGGATACGGTGGTCTCTGATGTGTTATCCAGTAGAAGAGGGAGGAGTTGGCTTTAGAAGACTTCAGGACGTCTACAGAGCATTTTCATTCAAGTTTTGGTGGAATTTCAGAAAGGGGATATCGTTATGGGCTCAATTTATGAAAGCAAAGTACTGTAGACAAAAACATCCCTGCCAGGTTGAAATCAAAACAACGGACTCGGCACTCTGGAAAAGGATGGTGAATGTGAGTCGACAAGTGGAACTTTCTATGCTATGGGTGGTCAAAGATGGAGCTTGTCATTTTTGGTACGACAATTGGTTGGGTAATGGTGCATTATTCCTCCAAGCCACGGTTATCCCAAACTTATCTTTTAGTAACTTTATCAGTAATGGACATTGGGATACGAGTTGGTTGTGTCAGTCACTGCCAAGTCAAATGGTGACCTCCATTTTAAACCACCCGGTCCCCGAAGAAGGGGGTGAAGCGGAAGTCATATGGATGCCTACTTCTTCTGGAAATTTCTCTCTAGCTTCAGCTTTTCGGGATATTAGGCAAGCCCGTAACACGTCAATGGTGTTTGATAGAATTTGGCATCCTTGTCTTCCTTTGAAAGTTTCTTTCTTCATGTTAAGACTGTTGCTGGGGAGACTGCCAATACCCGACAGGTTACGTAACATTGGTTTTCATCTTCCATCAAAGTGTTTTTGCTGTCCATTGGCATCTGAGGAATCATTCGAACATTTATTTTCAAATGGCAATATAGCATCAACAATTTGGAATTATTTTGGAGCTGCATGTGGATTTGATTTATCAGGGTCATCTTTGAGACTCCGTATAGTGGGTTGGTGGTTGAATTCATACGATTCTGAGATACGTCGGTTCATTGGACGGGTTCTTCCCAGTGTTGTGTGTTGGCATATTTGGAAGGCAAGAAATAAAGCAATGTTTGACGATGTCCAGATGAGGTCGATTGCCATTTGTCATGCCATTTTCTCCGAAATCCAATCCATGGTGGGAATTTTTTTCAAAAAACCTCTCCGAGTACCATCATTTTATCATTTGTATGACTGGCCTAATTCATCGGAGGTTGGGTTTACATATAAACTTGTACGATGGGAAACGAAGGAATCTGGTCGCTTCACACTTAATACGGATGGATGTTCTAAAGGTAATCCAGGAGTGGGTGGAGGCGGTGGAGTTCTTCGGGATTCAAATGGCCTACCTTTGATTGGTTTCTCGGCATATTTTGGGGAAACAACATGTCTCCATGCAGAAGCTCGTGCCCTCCTTATTGGTCTCCAAATCAGTGCACATAGGGGTTATTTGAATCTCTATGTGCAATCTGATTCGTTGATATTAATTGGAATTCTCCAGCATCGCATTCATTGTCCTTGGCACATTAGACGGGTTATTAGGCAGATTTGGCAGATCATGGAAGATCCAGATCGACTTTCCCATTGCTACAGGGAAGCAAACACAGTGGCTGATGTGTTGTCCAACGAGGGCGTATCTCATCCACAGCAGCAACTCAGGATATATGAGACATTTAATACATTTCCACCTATGGCTCGTGGAGCAATTCGTCTGGATAAGCTAGGAATGCCTTCAATTCGAAAAATTAGGCTTGTGTAATAGTTTGTTTTCTTTTATCTAAATTAAAAAAAAAAAAACCCCATAGTGGTTTGGTTTACCGAGTGTTTCATTTACCATTACAAGGGAGTGATTCATGACAATTGATATAAAAGTCATTGCGATAATAGTAAAAATTGATTCTTTCAAATTTGAACCAAAATTAGAGCTTTGATTAAGTAGTAAAGAAGTAGGTTATGGATTGACACTTTCTGGTCATTTGTGCGCATGAGAAATCAAAGCAAACGTTTTTAGTTTGCTGTTTAATTTTTTATTTAATGTAGGAGAATTCTAAATTAAATAGTATCTTTGATTACCTAATTGTTCATTAAAAAAAAAACCGTAACTACCAAAGAGAGGATTTTTGTGACTGAATTTTAAAGTACTTTTGGGATTACAAGATAAAAAAAAAATTTTTGTTGGCCATGGAACTCATCATGATAAAATGCACATTAATCAGTGGATAATATTATTAGAAAGTATTTACCATATTTTTGGCAGCATCTTATATACGGCTATGACAAAATCAGTGATATATACTTTTTGTTATGAAAATAAAATGGGTTTTGGAATTCATCGTAAGAAACTATGATTTGTTTTATTGACTATTATTGACTATGATTTTAACATGATAAAGAAGGAAATAAGTGCAACCACATTTACATTCATTGCACAAAAAGGTATACTCCAATGAAAACGATGAAAATTACGTCCTGACAGAAATAAAAAGTAGTTTATTATGTCAATTTTCTATTTGACAAATAAAATGCAAAAGAACAAATTCCAATTCATGATCACCGACCGCCCTTTCCAGTAATACCCATCATTACATTTCATTTTTTCATTTTATTCCATTTCCTTTCTTTCCCTTTTTTCCCCTGAAATATTCAACTGGATGCATCTCACTACGATATCATTGAATTTGTTTCTAGCGAAGTATTAGATGCCAGAGAATACAAAATAAGTCATAGAAAATTAAGGGGTTGTTTGGTTCTATGGAATTGAAATTGGAATTCTATAGAATTAGAATTTTACGAATTGGAATTCCAAAACATTGCAATTCTTTTGTTCAGAAAATGCATAAAATTGATACAAAATTCATTTGGAATCATTAAGAATTAGAATTGATTCCATCTAAAATTTGTTTACATAAAAATTTTCTTTTTTTTCTTTTTCCTATGTAGTAATTTTTTAACATTTAACTAATTGTTACTAAAGCTTCAAGAAAAAACCCAATTAGTGCCTCTAATAATTTATTTTTTCTTGCATTTAACTAATTGTTACTAAAGCTTTAAAGAAAAAAAGACCAATTACTTCCTTTTCTACAAAAAAAAAAATATATATTATTCTTTTTTCCTTTATTCTTAATTAAATAAAAATAATTATGTATTCTAACTTAAAAAGTAGTTAATATTTACCAAGTTAAAACCTTGATTTTTTTTTTAAGTTAAGAACTTTTAAATTTTAGAAAATTAAAAGCCTACTCTATTATATGAATTGGGAAGGCAAGTCATAGCTTGTACCTATTATAAATGTTTGAGTTTTGCATCTTACAAGAAATTTCAATAGATAAATATGCAAACAAAGTGATTTAAGCAAAAAAAAAAAAAAGAGAGAAAGAAAAGCACAATTATACATTGCTACTATTCTTCAGTCAATGGCCATTCTAATATTAAATTAAATCCGAATAAGTTCCTATCAAACTTCAACTCACATGATGACCTTGTTTAATTTGATAGTCAACAAACATTGCTTGTGCTAGTTCATTTCTAAATTGTGTCTACTCTCTAGTTGGCTGTATTGTTCGAATTCGATTCTCATTAATAGCATTTACGCCACCATCATTATTTGGACCATCATCATCTACTCTATCTTCCTCATCTTCATCTTCCATTTCGGGTCTATTTGGTTCAGATGAAAATCTTTTCCAGAAAAATATTTTCCTAATTTTCCTTGTTTGGTTGCACAAAAGTTCCTGAAAATATTTTACTGTATAAAAGATTTTCACTCATCCTATGGAAAACAACTTCTCTTCTAAACTTATTGAAATTGTTTTCCTAATCACACACATCTCACCTGATAAAGGTATCTGCCAAACTTTCAAAGATTATAGTATGTTCAAAATAAAAAAGGTCTCACCTTGCTCACCTTATTCTAGTAATTAATTATATATAATAGCAACATTCTTTTCTAAAGGAGCTTTTAGCAGTGAGAGTGCAAGACATATGTCACAATAAGCATTGCATGTGATTGATATTTGACAATGAATGGCTAGCAATTTGTTTATTGCTTAAGGAGAAATTTTTGAGTCATATTTACATTTCTCTAAGTTTTTTTAAAGTTAAACAATGAGATAATTTTTTTATTTTTTATGGAAGAAGTATTTGGTTATAATGTGTAGAAAGTAAAGATAGAGGTAAAAGTGAAAATATTTCAAAGTTGGAAAATATTTCAAAAGTTAAACAAACACTAGAAAATGAAGTAAGAAAATATTCCCAATATGCTAACCAAACACCTAAAAATGATGAAAGGGAAATGATTTTCTTGGAAAATTACTTCCATGGAAAATATTTTTCCAAGGAAAACATTTTACTCCCAACCAAATGGGCCCTTCATCTTCATCATCAACCTCATGTTGTACTCTTCGCATCTCAGCATCAACTTCATCCAAGGATCATTTGGTTGTTCTACTCAAATAAGATTATGAAGGATAGCACATGCATTAATTATCATGACATGAGTCTTGACATCAAAAAAAGATGCATCTCTCAAAATGGCCCATCATTTCTTGAACAAACCAAATGTCCTTTCAATCACATTTCCAGCAATTGAATGTTGAAGGTTGAATAACTCTTTAAAATTTTGAGGCTTGTTCCCATTAGCAGAGCATTCATTAAGATGATATCTAACTCCACTATACAGAGCGAAGAAACCTGGGCTATTTGCATAACCTGCATCAACAAGAAAGCACTTGCCTGTAATGTTAGACAACAAATTGTTACTCATTTATAATTTAGAAAAAACACTCGATAAGTCTAATTGTCACATGCCCTTGGAAACAATTAATGGATCTGATCTACCTAACGCAGCATGTAAAACTGCTATCTGCTGCAGAACCTTCCCATCCAGACAATACTTATGTAAATCTCATGTCACGGGAGCATACACCTAAAACATTTGTTGCTATCTCATTCTTCCTATTTCTGTATCTTCCTTGGTCTCTAAGAAGAACATGTACTTAACATAAGTACCGTCTAACGCTCCAAGACAATCCTATATTACAAACAAAATATCATAAATTGATGGATTTGTAAATACTATCTTCACTAACAAATATCAAAAAATATTGATTACTTGAAACCATTCCCATTTTTCATGCTCGTAACCTTCCATTTCCTTTTCATGCTGGATAAAATAGTGTCTCCCCAATTTTATGATAGCACGTAGAACTATATTAAAGTATCGACTCTCTGTCTCACGTGATCTTATGAGATTAAAATGACAATGCGATTCTTAAAGTTACGAGCAAGAACATAGAGAAACATTGCAGCTGCCTCTTCAAGTGTAATATTTATAGTATCTTTCAACTCACAATGCTCTCTTAAATTTGTACACAAAATATTAAAACAATGTTTATTCAGTCGAAGTTGCTCTACACAAACTCTATTGTTTCCATAGTAAAGACGCCTTAAATATATTTCACGTGCTACTTTACAGTCAAAATAAGGTTTCTTTACTATATGTTTCTCATGCCACCAAGCTACCAATGTAGCTACCGTTACCATATAATTTGCAACTACCACTTTTCTCTTTTTTGCTTTGTGCTCGTCTCCTTCTTGATCTGTGTCGATATCCAAATTCTACAATTCAAAATCACGACAATGTAGTGATAAAACATTGATTATTTGACATTGCTTATAAGACATCAGTTTGTGATTAAGCATCAATATTATCATATTGCATTGCTCAAATAATTCTCTATTATCCCAAACGTTCTATCTATGTATGTTTCTGTCTATCCAAAGAAAAGGAAATAGTAGGAAGGTTCATGGTACATATTTGTTATATTCTGTCTTTCAGCCCACAATATTTTTTCGACAATATCCATGCATCTCACTAAGGACTAGGATATTAAAATTTTAATTTCTTTCATTCATCATATACAACTGAATTTGCAAATGGTTTTTATAAGAAAGATAAGAAAAACCGAAATCCTGTCCATTATTTAACAACTTTCTCAAGATAGCAAGTAATATTGAGCCAGGACTCCAATTAGAAAACCAAGAGAATTTTCATGTGGGATGAGCAGGAACATTTGAGAGAAGAAGAAAAATGTAGAAGTTTTGAACGCAAAAGTAGTAATGTTAGGCCTGATCCTATGTTCCAACATCCTGTTAAACCACTTTGCTCCCAAATCCACAAGCCCCCGCTTGTAACAAGCATAAATCAGTGTGTTAAAAATTTGATACTCGATCTCACACCCTGAATCAGCAATCTCTCTAATCATGTCCTCTGCCACATCCCACTCCTCCCTCCTTCCTATCACTCTAAATATTAAATTATATGCAGTCAAATTCTTCTTCAACTTCCCATTTTCTCTCATCCCCTAAAAAAAACTTAAAGCTTTATTGTCACTACTACCACTTTCCAGCTGCTTCAAGATTCCATTACAAGGCTTCAAGCTCAAATCACACTCCAAATTACTAATATCAAAATCTAATGCCAGTTCATTATCCGATAAACTACGATCCATAATATCTTTCCTGTCAGTTTTCATAGCCTTCTCTCCACCTTTTGCCTTATTAACACCCTTCCACAAATTTGACCTCAAATTATGAATCTTTCTTCACTCTCTTTACACCCCTGAATCTTTTCCAAACATTAAACCCACCCTTCCTAAATTCCCATCAAAATTCCCTCTGCTAGAATCTAAACTCTCGGAATCCATATCATCATATGACTCGAAAACCAAATCATCAACCAAATTGAATCATAAGTATCCAAAACCTCAGCATCTATCTGAGAAATCTTAATGGGATGCACCTTGCAAAATGGTTTGGTTACACATGATCCAGATATATGCAAGCATCCAGGAAACAAGGAAATCGAATAGGGATCAACAATTCAGACAGAATTCACTGTAAACTTGTGTTTTTCATATGAAGGATTTTCCAGTGGTATTGTGAGCTTAAAAGAGGCCATGAAGTTCAGTTCAGTGGCCTCTCAAGACATGCCTTGCTTAACTCATTGAGTCATATGAAAAATGTAGAGCAAAATTAGGTCGAGATTGTGATCGAAGGAATGGTAAACTTGAGTGAGTTATAGTCATGATCAAAGACTACACCAAAGAGCATTTTGGATATGATTCAGAATTTATGGGCTTTGTAGCTATAGTAATTGTGGCTTTTGCGGTCTTATTTGCTTTCATGTACTGCACGAAGAAATTAAACTTCCAAACAAGGTAGAACAAAAATCCGAGACGCACATAGACATGCATGATGATTCCAAATACAGACCTATGTCACAAATGTGAATCTCTAAATGCGTAGTCCAATCTAAATTACAGAGCTTAAACTTACTTCTCTGGAAGTTTTGCGAAAGGATAAATTTCACGCAAGATGTTCACAATTTCGGAGTAGTGTTCACAATTTCACGCAAGACAGTATCTTCCACTGGCAGATGGATTTTGAGGTGGCACCTTGAAACAGAACAAACCGTGGCAATGTATCAAATGAAACAAAGTTTTGTAATAAGCCCACAACCAATGATTAATTGAAAAAGTTTCAAAGATAAAGTTACCTTTTACAAGTCCTAAGTATTTCTAAAATTTGGGGAAAGCAAAAGTGCTGAAGGAAAGAACCCAAAAAGTAAGGATGAGAGGAATAAAGGTGACTGCAACCGCAATGGTGGAGCAGCAGAAGTAAGTGTGGAGACAGAGAGAAAAAAATTGGACGCGTAGGTCTTACGATTGGCGAGGTGATGGGTGGAGGGGTGGCGGGAGTGGAGAAGGATAGAAGAAGTGGGCGGAGGATTGGAAGGCGGAGAGGGAGATGGTGGTAGCTAGGAGAGGTAAAATGTTAGAGTGGAGGTTGAAGCGACGGTGGAGAAAGGGCACCTGCGAGGCTCTGCAGGCGATTGGGACAGAGAGACGCCTCTGTTTCTTGCAACTTTGTGTTTGACCCGATTTTAATTTTTATCCACATTGGATCCGTGTGTAGACCCGTTTCTCAGGGTTTAATTGTGTGGAGTTGGAATTAGAATTTTTTTATCCGGTCAAAAATTCAACTCATGAAATTGGACCCCATAGAATTCAGATTCAATTCTAATTTTTTGAATGGAGCAAAATTCAAACAACATATTTGAAATTGGAACCCCAATTCCAATTCTAAACCCCAATTCCGGGAACCAACCATATCCTAAGTTTGGTATAAATCCTTTACTTTCAATATTTTCATCATTACATGAGAATTTTGAGAATTTTAATGAAATACCCAAAAGGACGAAAACTAGAAACATATATTTGGAAATGCAGAGCATGTCACTATATTAATTGGAGATATCCTTTTAGTATCACTTAATATATTAAATGGAGAACGTTAGAACTACCAAATGGATCATATGTCCATTAAAACTAAATCTGTGTTAGGGAAGGCGATATATGGGCAGACTAATCCCTAAAGGCAACCTCCAGGATTCTGTATGCCATAGGAAGTACCAATAACATTAGAGCAAGATGCAATGGCAAGTACTCCTAGGCCTTTGTAAGCTAAGTCAATATCCACAAGCTTCACGTTTTGGCATGGCACCAATTTGCTACATTGCAAAGATAGTGCAACCTTTGAACTGGATGTGCCCGAAATGTCGTTGAATTCTACATCTCTGATTTGAACTTTTGAGACTGATTCACCACCCTAAAAGCAACAAAAGCAGTTATTGAGAAATGTTTTATTAAAAAGATAGAAAAAAAAAAGGTGATTGGCTTCAATCTACTATTTACCCACTATTAATCCATTTAGATCTACTTTAGATCTTTTTTTTTCAAGACATTTTGAAGTACAAATGAAAACTATATGATGAAGAAGAAGAGATAAGAAATCTTACGAAGAAGAAGAACAGAAAGTGCATCATGTGATGGAAAGAAAGAGAGGACAGGTCCGTCATAAAAGTTGAGGGTTTTGTCCAAAACCTCCCAATTTGCTTGAGAATGGGATAGCTTCAATTTTTTAGAAATGATTCCAAAATTTATATTCCAACAAACTTAACCCAAGCAACAAATAAGGGGTTCATTCCTTTCTGTGATTCCTAAACCCTTTAACCAAGCAGGCCCTCGAAGTTCAAGTTGGTTGGAAAGGACATTAATATAATCGTATGATCTCTCAAACTTTCCTCTTTCCCCGTTTGCCTCTAAGTCTTTAAGTCTCCTCTTGGACGCAAATACACACACACATACATGGATATATATATACATCAAATAATAAAACATCAATAAAAGATACCGTACCGATGGTGGGCAATGTGGGCAGTACTTCTGATCAATAATGATGGGGTTGCCAACGTTTTTCATTATGATGTTCTGGAAACTAATATTTGAAGCCAAACTGGACCAAGAAGGTGACCAAGTCTTGATCCTCACACCATTTTCAGTGTTCCAGAAAGTGGCGTTCCTGACGCTTATGCCCATAACATTTTGGTTTTGAGAGCCTTTACCAAGGCTTCCGATGCTGATGCCATGACCAGGGCCGCAAATAACTTCAGAAATGTCAATGTTCTGGCTGCCGGAAACCATGGATATACAATCATCGCCTGTTCCAATGCTTGCTCTTGATATCTTGATGTTGGTCGATGCTCCAATGTGGATTCCATCTGTGTTTGGACTGTTCTCTGGAGCAGACACCCTAACGTAACTGATGTCTATGTTGTTGCATGCAAAAAGGTTGATATGGACCTTTTTGCTGTTGATTGAACTTAGGTACTGTATCTTGGAATTTCTGATAAAGTCGAACCTCAAGCTCTGATAGGATCCGCATTAAAAAAAAAAAACAAAAGGAAGGGACCTAATATTAGGATGGATTGAGGGGGAAGGGGATAAAAAAGATGTAGTAAGAGAGATTGAAAAGGAAAAAATTATAAAGTAAAGCCTAATAATACATGTCTCTGGCAGTGGGAGTAAATTATAAAGTATTTTATCATTGGGTATGTCTAATGTATGTCCGATGTCAGATTTTTTTAAATGTAAAATTAATTAGGAAGAGAATGTAAATATAAATAAGGATAATAATTATAAGCATTTGCCTCTAAGTCTTTAAGTCTCCTCTTGAACTCATAATTACACAAAAACAGTTAAATTTGTACTATGAATGATTACATTGATGAGAGAAGATGATTTTAATTAATTCCTCCTTAATTGACTCCTGATTCCAGTCAAAACAATGATGTATAATCTAATAGATTATAAGGAAAGACTAATAATAATACCAATTAGGGAACAAAGGTTGCCTTCCATCAATAAGGAATGAGTTTAAGGAGAATGTTACTTCCGTGATCACAAAATTCACCTCACAACTGAGCAACAATCTTTCAAGAATTTAAGATGACAAAAGGGATTAGGCAACTGGTGATTATAGATCCCCAGCCCTTTACTTTGTTTAGGGAAAAAAAAAAATCTTCTTTGCTAAACGCACTGACCCAAAAAAAAAAAATTGATTTTTTCCCATAAAGAATTTCTATGAAGAAATTAAACTTACAGAAGGGAGGGGCAAGCATTGAGAGTTCTTGAAGCAATCATTATAATGCCAAGCAGAAGCACCTTGACCATCCAAATATCCACTCCCAGTCACAGTCAAATTATCAACAGAATGAAATCCAATCCAAGTATCTGTGAAGAACAAAGCAGGAATAGTAGGAGCCTTAAGAGTCCCTCTAATAAAAAATGTCATTTCTCCGAGACATGGCCCCGAAAATGTGATTGAATGCAGCATATAGGTTCCCCCTGGAATCAAGACTGTGCTGCTTCCTTTCCATTGACATGCATCACTCCATGCTCTCAGGAATGCCTTCTCAAAAGTACCCACAAAACAAAAAAAGAAGAAAATAAAGAAAAAATTTAATTCACTTTCCAACAATCACAAATACAGGGCTACCTTTCCTTTTTTGCGGGAAAATTTCACGTTATAACACAGAAATCTTTTTTCATAATAAAAAGTTTGGATAGTTTGAGTTCTGGTCACTATCGTAGACTAGAGTATGTCTCGAGGTATTTAAAAATTATCCATGAACCAATATAACAATCATATTGGAAGTGGAATTCGGACACATAACATTTTATTAGAAAGTAATCTGCTCTTATCAATTCAACAACTGTTTTGGTATAATAACAGTGATTATAGTACATAATACAAATACTTCAACAAAGATTTGAGATTTTGGAAAAGAGGTCGTGTAAAAAAAGTCAAGTTCATAACATAAAATTAATTTTTCCAATCTTTTAAGGCGGTGAACCCTTTCTTTCTTTTTTGGAAAATCTCATGAATAGGCTAATTTACTATGCATAAACTAACCTGACTGTCATCTGTGTTTCCGTCAGCTCTTGCACCATAGTTCACCACATTGAAGATTTTAGGTGGTGAATACACAAAAGCATCAGCAACACTCCAGAGGAAGATGAGAACTATAGCTATGCAAAAAGCCAATCTTGAAGCCATGATTGAATTCTGGGAAATGTAATGTGCTTCTAACTTGTTCTTAGGAACTGCGTATTTATACACAGGACTGGTTATAATAATGTTATAATTTTCATTACATTTGCATTATTTTTTACGAATCTTTTCTCCTGTATACAAGGAAGACGCTTAAATACATGCTTTTTTATTGCTTCCCAACTTCATTTAATCAAACCCTAGAATCACTCTCGGGAGATATATTTTCCATTTTACCATTTTTAACATCTATACTTTCTTGTCTGAATGGGCATATCTTTTTGAATCTCAAGAATCTTCATTTGAGATATTATCTTTTCCTTATTATTTTGTCGTTTAATTTTTGCTATGTCACATGGAAATTATTTCTGACTTTTTCTCCAAAGCTACTGAATTAAGTCTACCGTAGTTTAGACCTTACCACAATAGTTTCTATTTCTACTCCTATATCGAAGTTTTTTCTTCCCTACAAGTCCGAGTACCCCAAGAGAAGGCAATCTTCATGATGTGATATGCATCGGAATATTTGGGATTTGATTCTATATGTACTCAATCTATTGTATCCCAATTATTTTCTTGAAGAAAATTTCATTTCTCGAATAGAAAGTTTACGAGCCGTCCTTTTATAAATAAACGAGCATTAAAAGAGCAGAATTCGATTACTTGCGAGTAGGCATGTCAATGGGTAGGGTTTGAGTTAGATCTTTTTAATTCAGATTCAAACTCATTTATTTTAGTTAGATCTAGACCTAGACTCAAACTCTTTTGGGTTAAAAAAAGTAAGTCCATACCCAAAGTCTTATGGATCTGGGTATCCAATGGCATTCATGGGTATTTTCTGAATATACTAAAGTAAAAATATATTTAAAATATATAGAGTGTATAAATAATATAAATGTCATCCAATTTTTATTTTCAAATAATAAAATTAACATTCAACAAGTTGAATGCAATAGTGTGAACTCAAAGAAAGAATTATTATTGACTATTTCTATATATTTTTAAAAATTCAACTGCATCCACATCCAATATTTCATTTGTTTGCCTTTGCCTTTTCTCCTTTTTTTTAAAAAGTTTATACCAATTATAATGACAAGTAGGATTAGTTTTTAAAAAAGAAAACAACCATAACATATATAAATATTTAGTCTTATTAAAAAATGTAATTTTGTACCTCTTTTTCTTATTTAAATCTCAATATTGGTAGATGTCTTGCAATCGAGCACTAAAATAGTAAATGAGATAAAAGTCATTTGACTAAGGACGGATGCCAAATAAATAATAGAATAAGAAAATTTATAAACACTTACTCATTCTTTCTTTGATTCTATCCAATCATCAGTAGTCACTAATGTTTCAACCATATTTAGAAGCAATTTGGTGTGAGTCTCATCAATCACTCAACCACCAATACCAATTGCAGATTCTGATGTCATGAAATCTTACTATATTCGATCCAATAACGATAAAATATTAGATTATTTAAAAAATTTAGCTTTTATATATTATTTAATTAAATATATATATGAGTCTGGATAAGATCTGGTATGGGTCTGGATTTGGATATAGATTCTAGAAAACCAAACCCTACCCAAACACACGACTCTCTCACAGGATCTGGATCTGGGTGGGGTCTGAATTTAAAAAATAAAATCCAAACCTTACCCAAATATATTGGGTCTGGATTGGATCTAGATAAGACCCGACCCATTGACATGTTGACTTGGGAGTAAAGATTTTTAAGGCCGTCCCTTTTTATAAATAAAGAAATCTAACTATTGCTTGGGAAATTCATTATTTATCAAGAATTCAGATAACTTTCTCCAACCCAACATCCATTATTTTCTTTATCCGCATATTAAAGGAGTTTTTTTTTTTAATTTTTCTAAGTAGGGAAGAGGTGGGATTTAAGAAGCAAGAAGGGAGAGCAGGACTAAAAAGGAGCTTTTTTCTCTCTTTTTCTTGGGAAACTTTTATTAATATCACCAATGAATGCTTGCAGGAAAACTTTCTCAAGTACACTAGAGAAAAAAGCTCTGTAACTAACAAAAGTAACGAAGAGGCTTGGTAAAAAGACCATTCCCTATTGGATGTCTAAAAGTTCAAGTCCAATCTTAAACCAGCCAGAAAATGCCCTTATCCTTTTGGTAAAAAAATTTACCTCAATAAGTTCCAAAAAAAAAAAAAACAAAAACAAAACAAAGAAAGGTTCCCAAAATGCGTTGTTATTTGTGTCCTATTTTGACCTTAAAACGATGTGCTCATCCTCTTCTTACACAGCAGCCACAATACACAATAGCTTTAGACATTCCCTTCCAATATCAGGCCTCAATTAAAAAAAAAAAAATTTAAGCGGAACATTTTACTCCTAGTGCAGCAAAAAAAGTGCTCGTCACAAAAATCATCTTAGTCCGTAGAGACAATACCTATATGACTATAAGGTCTTTGGCACGGCTTTCAAGCCAAGTTTTAAAGTCTCGCTTTTGACCAATAAAATAAAATTTAATTTTATATACACTAATAGTGTATATATTATCACGATTAGATGTAAAATATATATACATAATTTGAATTTAAAATTTAAATTATGTGTCATGTATTCAATGATAAAAGTGTATATATTATTAATGTATAGAAAAATAATCCATAAAATAGTAATAACAGTTTTATTTCTTTCAAAAATTTCTATGACGCTGTCTAGGAACTAAGCGAGGACTTGCAATCATGTCTTGCACCTCAGTTGCAATTTGCACGCTTCAATTTAAGGTCAATCTAATTGAATACAAGTTCCATCATTTCATGGCATAGTGACTAATGTACCACATGAATGAAAACCTGTTGAGCATTATACTACATTATAGACCATGTATCTTACGTAGGTAAAAGTTTATATTGACAATATCTTTTTCCTAAATAAAAATACTTTATAAATGTATAAACATTAAAATAATAAGTTCTAATATTCTTCCTTGGGAATTAATGCTGTTAAGACTAGGGCTGCAAACAAATCGAGCCGCTCGCGAGCGGCTCGAGTCAAGCTCGAGTCGAGCTCGAGATTAATCGAGCTCGAGCCAGCTCGAGTCAACCTCGAGCTCGAACTCGAGCTCAGAATATTAAGCTCGTTAGCTCGCGAGCCGGCTCGCGAGCTTGAGTATATATATTTATATATATTTTTTATTTTTATTTAATACCAAAATTACGTATATTATATATAAATATATTTTAATTTTTTATTTTCATAGTGAAATTACGTATATATTCTTAATATTTTATTATTTATTCAGAAAAAAATATTATTTTTTTATTTTTTAAAAATAAAATAATTTTTTTTTATTTTTTTCGAGCTAGCTCGAGCTCGGCTCGACTTGATTCGAGTCGAGCTCGAGCTCGAAAATTGCCAGCTCGTCGAGTTCGAGCTCGAGCTCGAGCTTGGTAAAATTTAGTCGAGACTCGGCTCGATTAGCTCAAAACTCGACTCGGCTCGACTCGTTTGCAGCCCTAGTTAAGACCAAATTCATCATCATATATCCATTCTCTCGGTTAAGGAACCCAAAGTCTCAACTTTAAATAGTAAAATATCTATTCTCCAGCATGATGAATTCTGTACTTTTCTCCATTAAAATAATTTTTTACTTTGTAGCTTATCACTTATTTAAATTATTTAAATTGAACTTGTCAATTAGACAGACTACAGACGGAAAAGGGGCAGGGACGGTTGCAGGTGCAACCGTCCCTGAGCGGTTAATGGCCATGATTTGGCTTCAAAATTTTGTGCGGCTGAAATTATAAGTTGTAACTAGGGATGGCAACGGCGCGGGGTTGGGGCGGGGGACCCCTCCCCCGTCCCCCGCCTCCTGCTCCCCCCGCCCCGCCCCGCCCCCGCCCCGTCCCCCGCCTTAAATTTTAATAAATAATCAAGTACTAAAATATCAACATATCATCAAATTATTATTCATTGTAATTTTACAATTGAAACTCATAAAAACAATCAAATAGAAGTTATTTGAATACAATCCAATATGATGAAATAAATATAACTAAAATAGTCAAATTTTCACTTTTAGTACAAATGCAATCACTAATTCATCATTGTGTTTGTGCTTTTTTTTTGAGAAAAAAGTGTTATTCTATTAAGTGTAATTAGAAATTTAGTATAAATGTATTAGTAAATTTAGTATAACTAATTAATAAATTCTATTAGTAGACATGTATAATTATTCATATAATTCATAATATCAATTATATATATAATATATATATAATACATCTAACTAATAATATCATTATTATAAGTTTATAACTAATTAACTTACATATAGCATTTATATATATATATTTATATATATACATTTTTTTTTGTTTTGCGGTTGGCGGGGCGGGGGATGGGGCGGGGGTATACTCCCCCGCCCCCCGCCCCGTTTCTAAGCGGGGGGGGAAAAATTCCCCCCCGCCCCCGCCCCACCCCCTGCTCCAACCCCCGTCCCGTGAGCCCCCTGCGGGCACCCGCCCCCATTGCCATCCCTAGTTGTAACTCGATTTTCACGTCATGTGTGGGCTCCACAAAAATTTGCTCTAAAGTTACGTGATGTGTAAAAAAAGTTACACGATGTACAAAAAAAGTTACGCGCAGTTGATAATGACCAAAATCGCCTGGGATAGTTGCACCTGCAACCGTGCGTGCCCCGAGTCCACTACAGACGAAGACAAATCTTGAATTGTCATCCAATTCAGGAGATTCCAATGATTGCAATATTATTAAACTATTCATTTGGATATTAAAGGTACACAGTTTTCAAGTTGATGCAGGGCATGTAAAAAAATCGTTTATTATCATCTTAATATTCATGAAAAAATTCGATGATAATTGCAAAAAGGGTCCACCTGATTGATCAATCACTTTTAGTCATTGGACACTTAAAAAGAGAGGCAATTAACATCTATTTCGATAGTGAACCTTAATGCTCTTGAAAATATCACCATATAATTCTAAGTAATGTCTTTGGCACAATGTTACGTAGCATTTAAAAGATCACCTGAGAAAAATTGACAACGT